GGTGGTAAGATCAAGTGCTGAAACAGAGTTCAGAGCAATGACTCTAGGAATTTATAAACTATTATGGTTAAAGATTATCCTAGAAGACTTGAAGATCAAGTGGAATGGACATTTCATAAAGGAGAAACTAGACAGTGGGTTGATTTGTACACCTTATGTATCAACCAAAGGTCAACTTGTAGATGTATTGACTAAAGGTTTCAGCAGTGCAACATTTCAAGAAATTATTTTCAAGCTGGGAATGGAAAACACCGATTCACCAGCTTGAGGGGGAGTGTGGGAAAATACTTATTTACAGCTGGTTGTAATCTTGTAATATGTATATTTATATTTGTACCTCTAGAATTAAGTATTTGTATCTCTAGAATTAAGGACAAAAAATTAGGATAGACAATCCCTCAATTATAGGATTAATTTTTTAATAAGATTTAGTTTTCTAGTTTAACCCCTAGTTAGTTGTATATAAACCTAAGGTTCTTGTATAATTCTAAATAAGCAATTTTTCAATATATATTCAATTTTTCTCTTAATTTTTCTACACAATTTTATTTCTTAGTTTTTCCAATCTAAAATCTTTCAATCAGTAATAGATTTTTTGTCACAATCACTTACTTAATGTATGCACTTGATTTCCTATATTAAGGTATACAAGATCATTATAAAAACCAATAAAAGCTAGATTATTATAGAAACCAATACTAGATCATTTCAAGCAAAGAAAGAGCGAAAGGTCTACAACCTTCTTCTTGAGAAAATCAATAGAAGCTATTAGCTCTATCCAATTTTGCGTATATTCAACCTAAAACCAATTAGCAATAGATGGATCAGCCCAACTTGAATATAAGTTAAAAAAAACTTCGAACTAAAAACATAATGAGATAACACCACTTAACAACACCATAAGCTATGTGTTGACTTCGGATACCATCATATGTTTGGCCTATAAAACAATCCATATTTCAGTTTGATTGCCTCACAAAAGACATGAAGCCCTTAGACCAATATATTATCGGCATTACAGTGGTATCTAGTGCATACAACAAGTGCAGTAGAGACATGCAAATAGTAAAAGTGTCATTTAAAAAAGAAGGAAACTTTACATGAATAATGAGTGAAAAAAGAAATGGGAAGAAATATGAGACTCGCCCTCAATGTAACTAATGGTGTAGCTTATACTTATTCTTCGAGAGAAGTTATATTCAATCAGGCAAATTTACAGTAAAAAATGTCATAGCTGTAGGCAATGAATACGCAAAATGACTGGTTACAGAAAACTTGGAAAGAAAAAAAGAAAGATGAGGAAGGGTTGGGTGTAAATGCTATAGTTTTAGAGTGGAGTTGATACCACTGGCGTTTCTGGTTTGCTAAAACCTCAGGATTGAAGCTTGACCGGTTCCTTTCATCCCGCGAATTGCCACCCCATCGCCAAGCCTTTTGCATCTGACTTTTCAATCTCTGGAAACTATTGTTACGCTGGTGTCCCGCAGTTGGAACTTCACTCTGACTACGCCTATGCCCCAATGGAGGCAGCCTTGGAGGATCCGAGCTTCCTGACTGCACGGGATTCTGTGGTTCTCCATCCACTTTCATAACCTCCTCCGCAAAAAGATGGTTTAAATCCCAATAGGGTGATGGCAACTGGTCTTCATGTCCTTCACCTTCTTCCTTGGTTTCCATTTCCAAATACTTTTTTTTTTATCTCATCTTGCATTACTCATTTCACCAATTAAAACCAAACCTCTGCTCCATTAAATTGTCAGCAATTGCAAAAAAATCCACGCCTTTTCACTTATTTTGTAGAATCTACAAGAAACCATCCTCTTAAAAGTAGACCATATTATAGATTATTACACCAAGATATGAAATGGGTTCCCTTTCATTTGCTCTGGATCGTTAGATTCTGTAACTACCCAAATCATGAAACCTTCCAATATATACTTCTAAAATCAAATAAAGAATTGCCTCGTTTTACGCAGCTTACAATCTGAATGCCAATTCTTGTGCTGTATGATTCATACACTCTTAACACCCTATTTGCACAAATATTTGAAAATAGTAAAAGCTATGGCAAAATTTAAAAAAAGAACAAAAAAAGAAAAAAGAAAGAAACCATGAGAATGAGGACAATGAAAAGGCCAAACCAAGTACTTAAAAGATTCCCAACAGCTTTATTTTCTTCAAAATTAAAAAAAAAAAATCAAAACAGAACTTCGTAACGGAAATTTGATATGATAACATGGGTCGAAATCCAATTAATGCAAATAAAAAAAATAAAAAAGAACAATAACAGCAAACATAATTGGAAGAGAAACAGGAGAGATTCTTCCTTACCTCTTCCTTTTTCTTTTTTTTTTCTTTTGCTTCTGTTTAGCAAAGGTTTGGTTCCTTCAAGGGAGAGAGAAAGAGAAATGTTAAAAAAAAGAAGGGGAGGTTACACATAAGAGAAGGAGATTAAGCGCACTGTATGTAGGCTTTTCTTCTGGAAAAAGATTAAAAAAAAAAAGAGAGAGAAAGAAAAGACAGCTCAATAATCAATATGCCATGGAAGGTTTGAGACAATTTTTTATAGAGAAAACAAAAAGAGAACATCTAAAAAAAAAAAAAGATGGCAAAGGCCATCATTGACTTCCAGAAATGAGATAGTATAGTGCTTTTTTGACAATGGAAATTCAACGTGTGGCTTGCATGCAATGCCAAAGACACCCACAGATTCCCCTTTTAAATAAAGTGGCCAGTGGGCTTCTCATCTCTTCTCATCTCTTCTGTTCGGCTTCTTTTTTTGTGCCTGTGCTCTTTCTTTCAGACTTTTACAGCTCAGAGTTGGGAGCTCTGCATTTATGGCAATGATGCAATCTCACTTTCTCCCTTAGAAGCGTCCTTCTCACGCATTCACAGATTAATGGACAGAGATCAAAATCATGTTCTTTTCTACATTCATATTTTGCAAACTGAGAAAGAAAGGATTTATCATTGGTCTGTATGAGAGCATCAATATTTGAAAGTTGTAGCTTTTTTTGTATTAATTTGGTCTTTTTTTTTTTGTTGAAACAACGAGTTTTGGCAATGAGAAGTTTTGAAACATTTTGAAATATAGTCTAAACCATATCATGCAAATCAATTAAGAAAGAAAAACTATCACTAGGATAGTATCAAATTTTTTTGTAAAATTAAATGTTAAAATTTTAATTTTAGAAAATTTTAAAAATTATGATTATAAAAGCAGACGCGTGGTTAAAACGCGCATTAAAACTGTGAAAATTTAAAAAAAATCACGTGGAAGTGAGTAAAAGTAGCGAGATAGATCGCACATGGTCATTGCCTTTCATTTTTCTCGTAAACTGTTTTTTTTTTTTCGCTTTGGTAACGTCACGAGAAGTTTATAAACGGTTAAGTTAAAAGAACGGCAGTTTAAGTAAGCATTCTTGAATGAGAAGTTAAAAAATGCTTAGGTTGTCCATCTTCCCATCATTAAAATCTTTCGCATTTGAGTCAATCTTCCCATCAATCCGCCATTGGGCCGATAAGAGTTGGACGATCGTGCGACTCCTATAACGGCGCTCGATTTGATCACTGGGTACATATATTAATCCTCCTCATTTCATTTGATTTTCTCTGATCCTAAGCAATAACTTCCTTCTTTGATCTTCAAAATCATGACTAGGCTTTCTAGAAAGCATTTCTTTTTTATTTTAAAATTTTCCTTCTCATTGCATTTGCGTTTCTCTGATTCTTCTCTATAACTTCCTTCTTCATTTTCACAATCATGACTCCGCTTGCTAGAACTTTGTTTTGGTATTTAAACCGTGCTTGTGGCGCCAAGAAAATGAAGCAGGTGGCCATGAAACCAAAACCCAAGAAAATGGAGCAGCTGATATTTAAATAATTTCATTAGTGTTGTCAAGTTAGAAGTTGAATATGTTTCAGGTTTTTAATTTCGTTTATAAAATTAAAATTTTTATTATTAATGTAACAAACACGAATTCTTTAAATGTTGTATAAGTTTATCTTAAATTTGATTTTAATTATATTTCAGTTGTATGTCTCTTCTTGTAATTGATTTATTTTTTCAGCATACTTGTATTATAAACATTGAATGAAATTCAATAGCTGTAAAGTCTTTTCAGCCAAATTCAGTCAAAAGCTTGTTATTTATATGTTTTTTTTTTTACTATTTTTTATGCAATTGGATTTGCTTCGTATTTTGTAATTTACTTGAAAAAAAAAAGGAATTTGGATTTTTTTATTATTTGCATAAGAATATATACATTAATTATTGACTTAAATGTTCAATATTTCATTTAATTAACTTAAACATTCGAGGAAATGTTAAATTAAAACTTAAAATTTTTTCTAAAAAATTGTTAAAAATATTAATTTAAATCTCAAAATTTGATGATATATTATTTTAAATAATTTTTGGATTCTCTACAAATACCATAAATAGCAATATTTTAATATACTATTCAAAAAAATTTTATTTTTTAAGAATTTAAAAAACTATAAATATGTAGTAATAGATTAGTACGATCAATATGCAATATCTGTCAAGAGTTTCACAAAAAAATTACTAATATGTAAAATTGGAAATGCAATATTATTAATGCCCACTAAATAAAGGGTTAAACTTTTAACAAAAGCAGAATTTGTTTAAACGAGCATTGTTTTTTAAAGTATTAGACATTAAAATTTATTTCAAATATATATTTTTATTATTATTATTTTTTATATATTAAAGTGTAAATTTTAAAAATATTAAAATTAATAATATCGTTTATAGCATTTATTAAATTTAAATATTTAAATCATAGAATTCTGATTCCACCCTTTCATCCGTTAAAGCGACGCCCACCACTGTATGGCGCCAGAGTCTGCGACCGTACTTGCTCGTCGCGCGCAATCGCGCACCATCGCTCGAAACTTTGAAATCCCAATTACACCCTTGATGTTTTCCCCCTTTTTCGCTTATGGATATAAACGCCCTATTTCCGTCTATTTTTATAGCTCCTTCATTTTTTTCTAATTTTTTTACGTCATATGACTTAACTTACTTCATGCCTTTTTCCCCGAATTTCCCCCAACCCCCCCAAAAAAAAAATCCAATCTAATCAACAACCTTAAAGACCCCAAACAACCTGCATTACACTTTCTAACAATCGCCTCCCTAACCCTAAAATTCTCCCCTTGTTTCTTTTATTTTCTTTCTCACTTGTAGAACAACAAAAAAATAGTAAAAGAAACCCCCGAAAGCCCCAAATTACTCTCAATTCTTCATGGATTCGACCCCTGATTTCCCTTTTGGTTTCTCCCGGTTTTTATTCGGATGACAGAATCTTCATAATTTACATAAATAAGAAGGTACTATTATTTTTCAAAAATAGAAACCCTAAATTTTTATTTATTTATTGTTGTGATGGAGTCGAATCCAATCGTTATCGATATAAGCTCCGACGACGATGAGGCGACGTCGACTTGGAAGGAGCCGAAAGGAGACGACTACGATTGGTTATCGGAAGTTCTAAAAGCAGTTGATAAAAGGTTCGACGATCCTGATGAGGTGGTGGTGGTCGGGGAGGTCAGCCCTAATAAGAAATCAAACTCATGGAACTCATCGGTGAGGAAGGTTGTTAATGAGAATGATGATGATTGTGTCGTTTTGGAAGGTGATCCTAATAAGGCGTTGTCCAATGTTAATGATCCCCAAGAGGATTCCGATGAGTTGCTTATTGTAGGCCAAAAAGGGCAGGTAAATATTAATTTTTTATTCACATTTTTTAAACATTTGTTGTAATTGTTTTTTGTTATTTACGTTGATGGGGAGGTTTTCTTCAATGTTTTGTTGCTAAAATTAGAACAAGTGGTTTCTATGTGGTTTCCAGTAGTTCCCAGTGAAATTTGTGGCTGGTGACTGCTAAGGAAAGGAAGATAAAAAAAAAAATGTCCATGTCGTTTAGAGATGCGATATGCATTTATTTACTCTTTCAACTTGTTGAAGCACCTACCTACATCATGGGTTCATGAGTTTGTTGTGGTGTAAGTACCAACTTGGACTGCAAAGTGAGGATTGAGCCTTTGAAAAACTATTATCATCTGGTGTAGTTAGAAAATGTACCTTAGCCGTTTCCTCTTGCTAGAATTGGATTACTAATTATTGGAGAAAGATGAGATGTGAATCACCAGTTTTACCTGAAGGCGAATATCACTGGGTTGAACTAGCTGCAAGTGAAAATTCCACCTTGGAGAACCAAAAAGACCTATCATTGTGCTCAGGTGATCCGTGGTCTTAAGGGCATGGATACCTGTTTGATTGATGTTGAAAGTAGACCACATGGTTCAATGTTGCTACTAAAATCTCAAAAGGTTGAAAGAATTAATGAGGCCCAGAATTTTCTATTGTGGGATATCTGGAAGCGGAGGTGATCTTAGGGGCATTTACAAGCTGGTTGCATAACATGCTGATATTTAATGTGGAACCTACTCTTTTTCCTTCTGCATTAAACACTCAAGACTGTTATGTCATGGGCACCATATTTCTGATAGCTATCTCATTTTTGTCTTTGATCTGGTTGCAGATTGCATGCAGAGATTTCCCCCATCCACGGCATGATTGTGCTAAATTTCCTTTCAGTTCAACCTCTCATGAGCAGCACTGTGAACTGGTAAATATATTAATTTTTTGAAAAAATTACTTGAGACTTTTTTTTTTTTACTTTTGATATGGTTGATTGCTGCACTATTTCAGAGCTGGTGCTCTTAAATTTAGTACACATTTCAAATGCTAACAACGAATGACCTCTTGACATTGCAGTGCCATTGCTTTGTTTGTGACATGCGAGCACCGTGTTGTTATTGGGGCTCAGGTGTCTCTAATGTTGATCATTGTCATGCCACTAATAAAGAGGAGATATGGAAGACTCTGCGGAAGAATTTCAGGCTTGAGAGAAATGTTCCCATTCCAGTTGCAAAAGCTCCTGTAACTTCTCAATCTACAGCAGTGCCTCAACTTAACCAAGTTCCACGTCATGACATTATTCAGTTGACAATGCAAAATCAAGTTTCTGGGCTAACTCCAACTCAAGCTACTGGGAACTGCAGACCTCAAAAAAATCATGTCCCAAGGCCATCCATAATTCCTGCATCTCCATCCTCCACCAGATTTGGGATTCCATATAACCCAAGTGTGGGTAGCAGACATGTTCTAAGTAAAAGCACAATTCAGCCACGTTCAGTTTCACCACAGTTGCTAGGTGTGCGTGATACTGTAATTCGAAGGGATCGAGGCATTAAGGTTAGCCACTTGGGTTCCCAATTTGTCCCATCCAACACAATATCCAAAAGACTTGACACTGAAGTTGCGTCTGCAATAAACCGAGCTGCATATGCTCCATCAGAAAACATTACTTCTTCTCATGCATCGCAGAATCAACAAAATCCTGCTTCAGTTACAATATCAAATGAAAGGAATCTGGATTCCATTGGCTGGACAAACATTTGTTCTGGCACAAACTTGGGAACGTATGCACATCAGAGCTCCTCACAGCCTAGTATGGGCAGTTTCTTTACAAACTTAGCATCCTCCCAATCCTCGGTTTACAGTCAGCCTGTTCCTCAATCAAATGTACACCAAGATACCAATCACCTTCAGAATCAAAATCAACCTGCAACAAATTATGGTTTTTCAGATTTTGACTTAAATTGGGTCAACAACATCAGTCAAAGCAATCAACAATCTTCTGTTGATAATTTACAGCTTCAATTCCGAGGGTCCTCACATGTGAAAGAACCATTCAAGGACGTAAATGAGCAAGATAAATCATATTACGAGTTTGAGAGCTTCCTTTTTGATAACCAGTACGATCCTGAAAATTCCCTTACTGCAGAACTTAATCCACTGTCTCCTGATCATATATCTATTGATACTGGTATGCTTTGCTTTGATATTGACACCTCTTGGGATTGCCTAACTCGTGCATAGCTGATTAGCATTGCTTGAGCATCCTAGGGAAGTAAACTCCGTCCTTGTGCAATGCACCTTGAAAGAGAAGCAAGGGATGGCATGCTATTTGGTAGTATTGGTTTTGAAACTGTACCATAGAAGCTTTGATGGTGTACAATCGTATAAAAAGCGACAGGGGCTGAGTGATGTTGTACAGAAGCGAGTTGTAACCCAATTTTCAATATTTATGAATCCAAAAGCATCAAATAATTGCAGGTAATTCTTGTTAGTAAATTTCCTTTATATTTGACAAAAAAATGACTGGGTTTCAAAGATTTTCATCCTTTTCTTGACTTTTTTTTGCCTACATAAGGAAGATGGTTTTGTCTAATAATATTTTTCGAAGTTGGAAGCAATTAAACTTGGGTGCTAACTTGCGAATCTGGTTGAAACTTACAACTTTCTCGCAATTCCCTCTAGGTTTGCAGTTGTACAAGCAAGTTACAATTTACATGATGTGTCAGGTGACCAAAAACAAGGACAGATGGTGTTTTACTTTTTAATGGTATCGTATCAACTTGGATAAGAAACTATTAAGAAGTGTATTGAACCATTAGCAGAATGAGACAACTTGGATGGCGTTTTCACTAGCCTCAGGCGGCAGAAATATTCTAGTAATAAGAAAAAAAGATTACTACCATGAAAATGGAATAATTTAAAATGACATATGTTAGTAGTATTTACATTCTTAATTTAAAAAAGAACCTCAGAGCTATGGTCTGGGCTCAGGATCAGGAGTTAGGTAGGGTTTAACGATTGAAGGAAGGGGGTTTGGCGACTTTGTTTACTTTTAAGAAAGAAGCATTTCTCTAGTTCCTTTCTTTCTTCTTCTCTTGCAAGTTCCAAAAGTCTCCATTAATCTATACTTATTCTCTGTTTATCTCTAGCTGTCCTTCCAGCAAACAGCAGAAGAGTGATAACAATAAAATGGCGCAATAGATGGAAACAGGCTCAGAACCAAAAGAGAAAGTGAGACGGCTGACCTCTAAGCCATTTCTGCCCTCAAAGAATCAGCTGCTTTGGAACTCAAGGTTTTTTATTTTTTCCTATCCTTCTAAAATCTGAACTTCGGAAAACTCTTTTACTTTGTTTAAAATCATTCTTTGGGTAATTGGGTCTTTCAGGAGAAAGGCAGCGAGATTGTGAAAAAGGGCAAAAAGCATTACCCAGAAGCCATAGACTGTTACAGTAGAGCCATCAACCAGAAAGTTCTAAATGATGAAGGCATATTACTGAGCTGTCAAAGTGTGTCTGTCATTGCTTTTAATACCCATGGAGCTATTGAATTCTACTATGAGGTAAGCTCTCTTTTTGATGACAAACTAACAATTATGATGATGCATTCAAGTCTCAAGGTGTTGAATTGGAGAAATTCCATCATAGCATGCTTGGCATTAATATCTTAATGTTAGGTACAAAATGGCTTATGCAATTTACCATGTATCTCATTGGCAACTATATGTTAGTTCAGCAAAATGACTAGTTACCTACTTGTAGCAACTTTTCTTCCAAAGAGATATTTTAATGTGCCATGTAGCTGTCCTAGTATACATTTACTAGTCTAACGTTAAAAATTGTATGCTTCTAATGACAGTATGCTAAACAAGGGTTAAAATCATTGTGGTTTGCTGGAATCAAAGACATTGAGGCTGCTTCATAGCCTATCAGTCTTTGATGCTCATTTTCACTATCCTTGATTGTTTTGTCAGGCTGGTTCTGGGGTTTTTGTCTGTCTAAGGCCAAAATTCTCCATTATCTCCTAGAAGGAACTGCAGCTTCCAATGTGGAAAGCATTGGAAAGGAAGAGAAGGATGCAGCTGATGGTTTTCTTTACAGCAATTCTGCAGGTTGTATGTTTTCTAATCTACCTTTCGCATCAAAATTTTCTCTTTGGTAGCTTTCTGTTGCTAGAGTAAAATTGGTGAAATTATTTTAAATGTTACTTGTTGCAGCAGAAAAAAGGAATCAACCTCACTTCCTCATTAATTTTAGTTAAACGACAAAAAACCACGTTATTTTTATCTGAAGTTCCTATGAATAATGTTCCAAGTTCATCCAAATGGGTCAAAGTGAATGAAAAAATAACACTTAATGGCGTGTTGAAAGAAGCAAACTTCATTATCCCAATGATAGGTTTATCTTTATTAAGGCCTTGTTTGATAAACCATTGGAAATTTTCAACGCTTTAATTTTTTCAATGCTTTTAATAAGACATTTTAAATTCCATTTAAAAGAATTTTTTCAACCAAAAAGTGTTGAATACGATAAGTAGGCATAGACTTACTTATCACTTCATGTAGAAAATGTTAAATAGATTTTATTTTTAATTTTTTTCGAATTACTATCCCCTAAAAACACTACTTCAATATCTGCAATAAAAATAAAGATAAAATGATAAATTTTCAGAATTCAATATATTTACCGTTATCAAGCAATATATTTATATTCAACATTTAATTTTCAGTAAAATACCAAACAGTTTTATAATTCAAATTCAGTACTTACCAAATTTAGTATTAAAAATTTAGTAATTAATTTTGCAACACTTAATTTTTTAATGTACCAAACAGAACCTAAGCATTTTACGCATTCATAATGCTTCTGTGAAAGCATTTCCATTACTTTTCATTGAATTATCTTGTGTTATTTCCTTGTTGCGGTCTTTTATGTTGTTTCAAAAATACTTCAGAGCTGAAAAATGGACACCTCCAGTTTGGGTTAAAGGCACCCGCATGCTAGACAGCTAGTGAGTGGTTTTTATTGCATCTTAGAAGAGTTAAAGCAAGCAGTTGAAATCAGCAAAGACAAGGTTGTGGTATTATTTTCCAAAGGCTTTTCATGTATTGGATAGTAGGCATTTCATTGTTGTTGAAACAACAAAGACAAACTGGAAGAAAATAGAAAGGAAGTAGTTTCTTTTACAGCTTTAATAACTTGAATGATAAAGTCTATTTGCTTTAGCACTTGCAAAATTTCTGTGACTAACTTTTGAGTTGTACTATCCTAATTGCATCAGTGGTTTATCTGTTAAGCATGTGAACGGCTGTCAAATATTCAAACTCTTGTTGCTCAAGGTTAGCCCAAAAAGAAAGAAAAAAAAGCAAGGCAGATCAAACAAGTTCAAGTAACTGAGTTTTTCTTTTTTTTGGATTTAACCATCGAAAAATCTCGCGTTTTTTCATTTGAAAAAAGTTGTTAAGATTAAAATCTAGTTAGCTTACCGTACTTCCTATCCAGAAGGAAATTCTGTTAAAGGTTCTGTTGAGTCTTGTATTCTATTTTGAACTCTCTTTGGAATCTCCTAGCCATGAGGAGTCTGCTGAGTTATGTACACCTTTAAACTTCAATAAAAAAATGGGAACCCCACACAGCTATACTGCCAGTCCTGAGTCGACAACTTCTCCAAATCCTCACTTTCGTTTCCTCTATCCCGTATGGCTAGTAATTTTGCCTGCTCTGCTGCCGATCTTCGTCCACTTCTTGGCACTGTTGCTAATGCCACTGCTGCTGCTGAATACATATGCAGTGGCTTTGATGCTGTTTCAAACATGTTGGTTGATGCAACGTATGCCATTGATAACACCTATCTTCTTTTCTCTGCGTATCTTGTATTCGCCATGCAGCTTGGTTTTGCCATGCTTTGTGCTGGATCAGTACGTGCCAAAAACACCATGAACATCATGCTTACAAATGTTCTTGATGCTGCCGCGGGTGGCTTATTCTATTACCTTTTTGGGTTTGCCTTGGCCTATGGTTCTCCTTCTAACGGCTTCACCGGGAAGCAATTTTTTGGGCTTGAAAGGTTCCCTTCCCCGTCTTTTGACTATAGTTTCTTTTTGTATCAATGGGCTTTTGCCATTGCAGCTGCTGGAATTACAAGTGGTTCTATTGCAGAGAGGACTCAGTTTGTTGCTTATTTGATCTATTCTTCCTTTTTGACTGGTTTGGTTTATCCCATAGTCTCTCATTGGTTCTGGTCTACTGATGGTTGGGCGAGTCCTGCTCGAGCAGATAATCTTTTATTTGGATCTGGGGTGATCGATTTTGCTGGTTCAGGAGTTGTTCACATGGTTGGAGGGATTGCTGGCTTATGGGGTGCCTTGATTGAGGGTCCTCGCATTGGTCGTTTTGATGTTAATGGCAAATCTGTATTATTACGTGGACATAGTGGAACATTGGTTGTTCTAGGAACATTTTTGTTATGGTTTGGCTGGTACGGGTTCAATCCAGGTTCATTCCTCAACATCTTGAAAACTTACGGAGAAACTGGTTCTTATTATGGACAATGGAGTGCCATTGGAAGAACCGCTGTTACAACAACACTTGCTGGAAGTTCAGCTGCTTTGACAACTCTCTTTGGCAAACGTTTACTTACAGGTCACTGGAATGTCATTGATGTTTGCAATGGTTTGCTTGGCGGGTTTGCAGCCATCACTGGTGGTTGTTCGGTTGTTGATCCATGGGCAGCAGTCATTTGTGGATTCGTTGCTGCTGGGGTTCTCATCGGATGCAATAAGCTTGCTGAGAATTTCAAGTATGATGACCCTCTAGAGGCAGCACAACTTCATGGAGGGTGTGGTGCTTGGGGGATTATTTTTACTGCATTGTTTGCAAAGAAGGCCTATGTTAATGAGATTTATCCAGGACAACCAGGGAGACCATATGGGCTACTCATGGGAGGCGGAGGAAGGCTGTTAGCTGCACATGTTGTTCAGATTTTAGTGGTAGCAGGATGGGTGAGTGTGACCATGGGGACATTGTTTTGGCTACTGCAAAAATTGAGGCTTTTGAGGATCTCATCAGATGAGGAGATTGCAGGGATGGATGTGACTAGCCATGGAGGATTAGCCTATGTATATCATGATGAAAATAGTGATCAATCACTGAAAACTTCGTTTATGAAGACAAAGATGGATGGCTCTACCGTTTGATTTGTTCTGATTTAGATTGCACAATTTGGAAAGTTACCTAGGAAATGACACACAATGGGGTCCTTGAGAAGATATTAATCATTCATCATACTCAGTTTGGTTCATTTGTTAGGGAAAGATTGTGAAGTGGGATAGACTGTGTTTGAGTTGCTCTGGATTGGATAGGTTTGCAATTGAATTTGTCACTTTGGGAATTTAAAAAAAAAAAAAATTGATGGAATATTCAAGTATCAGTTCCTTTTCCTTTCCCAGTTTGAAGAAGCATTCTGCATCCAAGAAATGAGTTAAAGAACAGAGAAGAAATAGATAATTCTGAAACCTTTTTGTCTAATAACTCCAACGAATGAAAATGACTATAACCCATAATTATTTTCCTTCACACTAAAACCTTAGAATCAGACATCACAGTAACTATAACAACCTAAACTTACACTGCATGTCCAATCAAATCAAGTAGCCAATCAACTAACACAACCATTGATTAAAATAATTGCATCCCTAAAATGCTAGTGGCGGTTTGTTTGCATCGTTTTCGTGATCATTATATTCATATGCCTTACCACCATGGCTTGTCAAATCTATTCCTGCCATCTCCTCATCTACGGTAATCCTCAAAAGGTTTAATTTTTGCAGAATGAAAAATAGTGTCCCCATTGTGACTGTAACCCATGCCACAATCACCAAAATCTGCACAATATGTGCTGCAAGAAGCCTTGCCCCACCTCCCATCAACAAGCCATAAGGCCTTCCAGGTTGTCCTGGAAAAACCTCGTTAACATAATTCTCTTTTGCGAACAATGCTGTGAATATTATTCCCCATGAACCACATCCTCCATGAAGCTGTGCTGCCTCCAAAGGGTCATCGTAATGGACTTTCTCTGCAAGCTTGTTGAATCCAATGAGAACCCAAGCGGCAATAAAACCACAAAGAACTGCAGCCCAAGGGTCAACAACGGAGCAGCCACCGGTGATTGCTGCAAACCCACCAAGCAGGCCGTTGCAAACATCAGTGACATTCCAGTGGCCAGCAATTAACCTCTTTCCAAAGAGAGTGGTCAAAGCAGCACTGCAACCGGCAAGGGATGTTGTGACAGCTGTTCTTCCAACACCACTCCATTGTCCATAAGAGGATCCACTTTCGCTGTAAGCTTTCAAGATATTGACAAATGAGCCTGGATTGAATCCATACCATCCAAACCATAGCAGAAATGTGCCTAGGACAACCAACGTGCCGCTGTGTCCGCGTAAAGTCACAGCTTTGCCTGAATGATCAAAACGGCCAATACGTGGACCTTCAATGAATGCACCCCATACGCCTGCAATAGCACCGACCAAATGAACCACTCCAGAGCCAGCAAAATCAATAACCCCGGATCCAAATAACAGATTCTCAGATCTAGTAGGGCTCCCCCAGCCATCAGCAGACCAGAACCAGTGTGATACAATAGGGTAAACCAAACCAGTCAAGAAAGATGAGTAAATCAAATAAGCAACAAACTGAGTTCTCTCTGCTATCGAACCACTGGTGATCCCAGCAGCCGCAATAGCAAACGCCCATTGAAACAAGAAATAGCCATAATCAAAAGACGGGGTAGGGAATCTACTCAGGCCAAAGAAATGTTGTCCAATGAAGCCATTTGATGGTGATCCAAAAGCCAGTGCAAAGCCAAAGAGATAATAAAAAAGACCACCGGTAGCAGCATCAAGGACATTGGTTAGCATGATATTCATGGTATTCTTGGCACGCACAGAGCCAGCACATAGCATGGCAAAACCAAGTTGCATGGCAAACACAAGGTATGTGGAGAAAAGAAGGTAGGTGTTGTCCACTGCGTGGCCAGTGTCAATGAACTTGTTGGAAACCGCATCAAAACGGCTGCAGATGTACTCAGCCGCGGCGGTGGCATTGGCAACAGTACCTAGTAGAGGGCGTAGGTCATTTGCAGAGCAAGTGAGCAAGTCCATTGGAAGGAACAAAAAGAGAAAGATGCGAAATTGCCAGTGCGTTATGCTGACAGGTTTTGGTGGTAGCTTGGAAAGAGATATAGATGGAGAGGAAGATCTGGGATTCCGGCTAGAATTTGGTTATTGCAGTGAGAAGATTCCTGGTGATCCTCCTTTTAGAATCTTGGTAGTTGTTAAGACTCATTCTCAAGTTCGATTCTGAGCTGTAAACAGCTAAGATTAGTATTAAAATGGAATTCCACAGTGCTAATTTTAGTTCAGAGGAATCGGGCCAAGCAAACCAACAATCGAAATTTCTACCGTGAACAAGAGCCACTTGATCCGAATAGCCTACACTGCTACATTTATTTTCCATAAAGACGTGCTAGATTGTAACGGCCATGAATATAGAATATTCCAGAATGAAAATCTTGAGTACATTTTTCCTAATCAAGAACATAAATTAACACGTTTTCTACCCGAATGTTTGGGAAAGTTGATGACATTTATTGGCGCCTGGTAAGGTTCAGTAGAATTCCCATATGACAATTATTTCAGCACATACAAAAAAGGAACGGTTTGGTTAAAATGGAAATTATTCAATTCCCTCGGAGCAAAAAAAGAAGGAACAGAGAAGAAAATTTCTTGCCGGAGTGAAAGACCTAAAATTGGAAACATAAACGTTTGAAACTCATCAACACCATAATGCAGATGATTAAGAGCTCAATTATTTTATTCATACATATACCTTCATTGCGGGTTCTCTTTTATTATTGTAAAGCAAACATTTCACAAGGCTGAAAAACTAGGCTTTAGAAAGCAGTTTATTCCAGCACATTCAAGTTTCTACTTATATGATGGTAATAAAGTACATGCCCTTCCAGAGGATGGACATGGAGTTCTTCACAGATCACCCCTTTCATTCGCGCATACAGTGTCATTCATGCGTCTTAAGCACACATCGGAGGCAACCCCCTTCATGCATCAGATCAAATGCCTTGTTAATCTCTCCGATCGTCATATTGTGGGTAATGTACTCATCAATTTTGATTTCCTGAGATGGAAAGGAGAGTATAATAAACAACCGCTCACACAATAGGCTTAAATATAGAATGCATACAAACTGCATTCACCTTTTTCATGTACTTGTCCACAAGCCAAGGCACTTGTGAACGGCTCTTGAAACCACCAAAAGCAGTCCCTTTCCAAACTCGACCGGTCACCAATTGGAAAGGTCGAGTGGATATCTCCTGACCTGATGCTGCAACACCTATGATAACTGATGTTCCCCAACCCTGAAAGTTTTTCAAGTGCATTAGAAGTGATCTTCCATTTACGCAATCATTAATGGTCTTGTTCAGGCACCACTCACCTTGTGACAGCATTCCAATGCGGCCCTCATGACAGAGACATTTCCAATACACTCAAAACTGTAGTCAACGCCACCATCCGTGAGATCAACAAGGACCTGCTGAATTGGTTTATCATAGTCCTTAGGGTTCACAAATTCAGTAACTCCAAATTTCTTTGCTGCAAGTTGCAATTCACCAAAAAAATTCAGCATATAGAAATAGAAGTAACACATGATTTAGATTTATTACAAAGAAAGATCAATAACCACAAATTTTCTCGCAATTTATCCCATTATTCACATCACACAGAATGTTTAATGAATATTTCATATTAATATTTACCAAACGGTTTGCTTTCTAAGAATTATTTATTTGCAAATTACTTACCTACATCAAACTTTTTGCTGTCAATATCTACGCCAATTATTCTTGAAGCACCAGCTGATTTTGCACCCTCTGCTACCTGTAACATTCAATTCAAAGATAAAATAAACAATTTAACAATATAGCAGACTAGCACCAAAAGGAGAACAACTATGGCAATAACAAACGTTTTGAAAAGACAGCTGAAAACATGCAGAGAAGTTCACAATAAATAGTATAAATATATTTCTTGGCAAGTGAGATGCATATTTAACACTTACCACAAGACCAACAGTCCCAAGGCCAAAAATAGCAACAATAGCCCCTGGTTCAACTTTTGCTGTGTTCCAAACTGCTCCAAGTCCTATCCAACACAAACTATATATAAATATGAAGGTTTGTGCAAAAGCTGCAGTATCATAAAACCAATATATATGCACTGTCAAATGAAAAAATGCAATTGTTATTCACTTAGATGATTACATATGGAATTACAGATTCATGAAATAAAGAGGAAGTTAAACAAGCCCTTACCAGTTGGTACACCACAACCAAGAAGGCATACTTTGTCCAAAGGAGCTTGTGGATCAATCTTTGCAACACTAACATCATGTACAACTGTGTACTGACTAAATGTTGAGGTGCCCATGAAATGGTAGATTGGTTTTCCATTGATTGAGAAACGGCTCTTACGATCATTCATCATGACTCCAGCTCCAGTGGCTGTCCTAACTTTGCCGCATAGGTTTGTCTTTCCTGATTTGCAGAACTTGCATTCTCTACACTCTGCCTGGTAACAAGGGATGACATGATCACCAGGTTGAACTTCAGTCACACCTTCACCAACACTTTCTACAATCCTGTACTCGAAAATTCAAACAAATCTCCCTCTTTAGCAATCAAGAGGCTCATAAGCTATAAGAACTAATAGGAAACATCATACCCAGCAGCCTCATGACCAAGAATGCAAGGGAATAGACCCTCAGGATCCTGAAAAGGAAAATCAAGCATGTTAGACATCAGAACCGAAAAGCCGATTAGACAATATCAAAACAGGAAACAAATCACAACTCGAACCAGATTGTACTAGATCTTACAACTGTCACCGCAAGAGGATACACAAAAATAACCAAATTATATTCTTATTAATTGTATCTCACTCCAATTTCTAATTACCAAATGTAGTGAAATCAACATAGAACAACATTATCCACATCTTTCGTGGATAGAAAAGGCAAATCCATTTCTTTTCTTTCATCTTCAACAGTTCCTTCTCTTAATATAAAGATACAGATGCTGAAAATTCTTTTAAACAAAAACAATTTTTAAAAACTCAATGCGATCGATTTTAAATTATACTGAGAAAGCAGCTGAGATATAGAAAATGAAGAATAAAAAAAAAAAAAAAAGGAAATACCTTTCCGCTCCAAGTGTAGGCATCAGTGTGGCAGAGTGCAGTGAAAAGAATCTTGATCCGAACCTCACCAGCTTGCGGCGGAGCCACCTGGATATCCTCAATGACCAGCGGCTTGTTCGGTTCATAAGCCACCGCAGCTTCACAATCACAATCGCAGCCACATAAATTTAGCATTAAGGTTTCAAATGAATGAGCAAAGGAAAAAAATGAGGGGAAAAGAAAGTACCTTTGCAAGTGATGACTTGCCCTTGAGTAGCCATTGATGAAAAGCAAATGTTTTCAGAAGAAGATGAAATAAGAGAGAATTGAAATTATCTTTCCGAGGTTGAGAGAAAGAGCGAATACAAGCCCTACGAAAAATTCCTGTTTTTTCAGATATACAATAACCCAAATCGGTCTTAACTCTCATCGCTTACTGGGCTTCTGTCTTTTCAGATATACAATAAATCAAATCGGTCCAATTTTGTCCCAACGAAAAAATCAAAATCTTTTTGATTCACTAAAGTAAGGGTTAAATATAAAATTTATCCCTGTATTTTATATTTTCAATCATATTAATACTAAAAAATTAAAATTTTGAATTCAGTCCTTCCATCACACACTTTACCTTAAAATCAAACTCCCTTAAAAAAATAAATTAATGTGTCTTAAATTACCACTGAAAAGTTATGAACAGTCATTAAAATTTCATGTCTTAAATTGAAATTAACAAAAAATTATGCATGGGTAATTTTTTTAGGGTTATAATGTTAGATTTTATTCTTTTTATTTCCTTCTATTGCAGTTAATAAACCTTTTTAAAAAAGAAACCATGTCTCTTCAAATAGCCATAGTTGGACGATGCAACGCACAAAGACCTTTCGGCTATTGAAAACACATTATCATGAAAAATGCATAAATAATTTTTTGCTTTTGTCATTTTCACTCTGAAAGGGAAGAGGAATGGCGACCAAGGAAACTTTTGCCTTGTATTGTTCCTTTAAATGATAGAGCCAGGTCATATTTGCTAAGCACTTCCAAAATCAAGTGGGGATATCAATTGATATTACAGGATTAAAAAAAATTCTTCTTGATAATCTGATGTGATCTCATTTTGTCAAAACCTATTCTCCAATCATGCCACTGGTTGTATTCCTTTTAACATTCCTAAAGAAGCTGAATAATTTTAGCTCAATGTTTGTGTATGGCCTTTGCTTTTCTAGCCTTGAATTCTTATGGGTAATCTTTTTTGCAGTTTTTTATTTTATTTTATTTAAAATTGGTGATGATTTGCTTTAAAATGTTTAAAGTATGCTCAAGTATAAAATTATATGAACTTATACGTACTATTCTTATTTATTTAAATATAAATTTTATGTTATTAATTTAAAATTTATAATTTTTTTAGTATTTTAAAAATTTTATAATTTATTGTTATATTTTAACTTTTTTTCTTACATTTCAATTTTTTAAAATAGTTTTAAAAAATAAACATCGGTAATAATTAGAGTTAACAACGAATCGAGTCGAAATGAATTTTTATTCGGCTCAAATCCGATTTGACTTGAGATTTTTTATTTTTTTATATTTGAATCAGATCAATCTGATTTAAATATTGTATAAATCGTATCTGATCCGATCTAAAATTAATAAAATATTATTTTTTAAATATAAATATATAATTATATATATAAATATAAATAATTAAAAAATAAATTTTATATAAAATGGGATTAAGTTGGGTCGTTTTTTTTTTTAATATTATATAATTTAACCTTATCTAAAATACGATTTAAAAAAAAATCGATACTATAAAATTGGATCGAGTAAAAATTTATCTCGAACAAATTGAGCTACTAACTCTAGTAATAATGTACGAGATTTGAATTTTTGTATTTTATATATATAAGAGAAAAGTCTGGAAAATTTTTATATAATAATCTTTGCACGTGGAATTGCACGTGCGACATTTGCAGTGTCCAAGGAAGAGGATAAAGAATGGAACACGTCGGACTGTCGGAGAAGGATCCAAGAGAGAAAAAAGGCTTAGCCTTACACAGCTATGTCGGTATCTTCAAGACCGTGATACCCTTTGGTCAAACAGTCTTTTTTCTTCAACCCAACTGCGTATGCCACGTGTCAATCTGTCACCGTCAACAATCAACCCTTTGACCAGGGTAACAATCTCCTGCCATTGCTTTTTTAAAGCCCATATACACCTTTCATCAACACACCCAATCACGTTTTACCATGTCATCATGTGACCCTATTTGTGAAAATGAAAAAGTTGTCATTACGGAAGCAATTTTAACATGCAAAAACGATCACCTTTCTTCCTTAATTTTTGTTCTTCCTTGATACAAATAGAAGTGGTGAGATAAAGCAAACATATATGGTCGGTTTAACTTATTTTCACTTTCAAAATGATATTGGTAAGAATTAATGGTGACAAAGTCAAATGTTAATAATGAAGGGGGCATACCAAAACCCTCCTCCTCAGTCCGTTCCTCGGCCTGCTGTTTCCCTATATAAACCAAGGAATCTTATCCCTCCACTGCCCTGTCAAAACTATATATATTCGTCTTAATTTTATGCACATGTCCCTTTACTTTCTTTCATACTCATATTCTTGTTAGTACAGTAGTGTAAAATATTATATTCCTTTCTCCTTTTTTCATCAGATATTCATATGGCTGATAATAACCTGAAAATTGTTGTAGAAAGAAACCCTCCAGAGTCAAAACTCTCAGAGCTGAACATCAAGTGTTGGCCCAAGTAAGCTCTTCTCCCTCTTTTTCACTATTTTTTTTCGGTATCCATCCATATTCCATGGTAGTTTATATATTTTTAGACTATGTTTTAAAGGGGTTTTTTTTTTTTTTGGGGGGGGGGGGGTGGGGTGGTTATATAATAATAGATGGGGTTGCTCTCCTGGAAAGTACCAGCTGAAATTTGATGCAGAGGAAACATGTTATTTGCTGAAAGGGAAAGTGAGGGTATACCCAAAAGGTTCATCATCGTTAGAGTTTGTAGAGTTTGGTGCAGGAGATCTTGTCATCATCCCAAAAGGTCTCAGCTGCACTTGGGATGTTTCTGTTGCTGTCGACAAACACTACAAATTTGAGTCATCTTCACCTTCACCATCACCAACACCACCATCTTCTTCTGCTTCTTCTTGCGAGTAATATCAATCATTGTAATTCTATATCTTCACTAATTCTTTGAAATTCATTTATATTACTAGTAGAATTATTCCTTTCTTCTTGTTTTTAGAGTTTTCTTTTTAAGCTATGGTTGCTTTTGCTGTCCCTTCTTTTACTAGTTTCTTTTTATTTTTTGTTTATGGATTATGCCATGGATGATTTAGGAAGGAAGGGTTCAAAATGTTAAAAGATATTTTTTGGTCAAAGGAAAGGGAATACCATTCAAACTAATCCCTTCTTTTTGCTTCTTTAAATAGTAGCTTTAAATGTCTCCTTTGACCGGTCAACCATTGATCCAAAAGTTGAAGCATGGGAGAGAAATTGGTGAATTAAGAAATTAACTAAACTTTTAAGGAGGTAAAATGATTTTAAGGAGAGCGTTGTTTTCATGCAAAACAAAAGATTTAAAAAAGAAGAAGATTTGAGATCTCAACTCCCAACTGTCTTAAAATAAGAATAGTGATGGCCAAAGTCAGACAATTGCAATAAGCTTGAGTTGACTCAGAAGAGAGAATGTAAATAAAATTTCAAATTATCAAATATTTTTGTTGAATTATTTCGACGACAAATATTCTCAATCACCCACCATTTTCACTGAATAACATCGTCTAGTTTTAAATCAAGCTAGCGGGCAGAAGCCACGCTTTGATCTATCTATGGCTACTGATCATGAAAGAACTGCACCTTAATTCCAAATACCATATTGTTACACCATGTTAAAGCATATCTGAGACTAGGTTTCACAAATATTTAAAAATTCATGAAAATTTAAATTTTTCGTAAAAAAGTTTTACTAGTTATGTAATATTATAACACCAATCAAATTTAAAGTGAGTACTAAAATGAACTTCAGTGAGAGCAAAATCATGTAGCAGTAACGCATCACCACCAAAAGGTATTTTCTTTTAGGATTTCAGTGAGGTCAGCTGCCCCCCCAATTGCCTCAACCCAATTGTAAATCCGTCTTCGAGCTTGTCTGTACAGATCATGTATGAAAGGGAGATCGCTAATTCTAGCTTCCTAAAGCAAATTTCTGCACTTGCAATCTGCACCTTGCTATTCAACCTCAGCCATGTTTTCTTCAGATTAGTAATTTGGTGAGCTGCACCATCCTACTGAAGAACTCTCAGTCTCCCTTCCTGCAGCATTTAATAGCAACCGTTGTTCCCGAATTAAAGATGTTATTAGGTTTGCGGTTCAAGAATATAGGCAATTAAAACATCGATTCTAAGATAAATAAGGTACTGACCTTGGTTCCATACACTAGACCTCCTCCAGCAAAAGGATGAAAGCATGCAACATTTACCTCATCCTCTGCACTCGGAAGTACTCTCACGAGTTCCATATCAGAAACTCTATACACCTAAAGGACAAAAGAACAGACTATTATGCCAGATGTCCAACACAGTAACTTCAAAGTAAGAAAGGTATTTCAAGAAGCATTCCAGTTGGCAGTATAAGTGGGAACCATGTGTAAGATAAAACACATAATCCAAACCTACACGCAACAACTCCTCCCCTCTCTATCATAACAAATTGTCACTTATGGTCTAATTGAGTAAAATGACATCAACTCCAGCAGAACTGTTTTAACCAGATAAAATACATGCAGATTGGTTTACACCAACTGAAAACTTAACCACAGCAAATTGATCAAAATTTATTCGAACTTAGATCAAGCCAAACAGGGTCTGTGTTTCAAAAAACTTGGAATGAAAAGTAAAGGTGAGAAAACAAGTCTTGGTTTAACCTACGTAATGAGATAGAAGATGTGCATTGACGGCAAAAACAAAAATCTTGTGTATTGGAAGTTGGTGTCCATATGGAGCATACTCCCAAAAAATAATTGCATAAATAAATGGGCTTGACCAACCATAGTGTAGGCCCACATGGGACCCACATCCACGACTAGTTGAAATCCTGTAACTGTAGAATTGTGATATGGTTCCATACCTAAACAGTTGAAGTTAATACTACATCAGACTATAAGAATTACCATGTCATACATACAAAATTATAATCTAAAAAATAACCCATTTTTTGTAACTCTAAATTTAGTTTTGAGATCCCTTCTCCTAGAAATAAATTGCACATTTCAGCTCAACTCAACAGTAGGGTCTTAAACAGAAACAGGACCAAAAAATGATTTAAGATTCACAAATCTTTAAAAAAATGTACGAATCATACTATTTTAGTCAACTAACATCTCAATAATCAAAATAAATGGAAATTTGGACAAAGCCGATATGAGAAATCCTAACATTGCTTGAAACATAAGTAACCATTTACAACTAAGCTTTCCACACTTTCTTATTTCTTACAGCAAACTCAAACAGAATCTATCAATAAATAAATTGCAAATCGAAAGATGGAAGAGGAGAAAACTATTGGCAGAGGAAGAAAGATACATTCATAACATGCAGAAAATATAAAATAATTTAATTTGAACTTCTACCTCCAGTACTGTGTATATGGGTGATGTTGTTTTCCCATCAATGACAATGCTTTTAAGAAGAGAACCATGACGCCGACCATAGGCAAGTAATATGTGCTCAGAAGTAGGTGAGAACTGCATGCATAGTATTAGATGCATAAATTAGAACCAAAGTAGTACAATTTTCTGCTATTATTCTAGATACAATATACTTCCTCTAATTCTAGGCATTTGTACAAATAGCATAGAAGAAATTTAGCCATGAGCACTTAAAGAAACTAAATTAAGCAAATTCAATATTTAAACATATAAATCACATTCTGAACGAAGTTACAGGCCAATATCGAAATCCTAAAGACACAGTATATCATCAAATATCCAAAAAAAGGTCAGAACAAACAAAAGGCCAAGCTCCAACTGCCAAATCATGTTGCCAATGACATTGGTGGTCTAGTCATAACTAACTTTGTAACATGGTACAACGATGGGATCAGCTTTAAGCATCCCCCGCCCTCCTTCCCCCTCTCGCAGAAGGAAACAATTGGTAAAAAAATAAAGTAAATTATGCTTTTCAATAAATAAAAAAGGCTCAAGAACTCAAAATAAACAGGCAAAAAGAGCTTTACTACCAAAATAACAAGGAAAAAACATTTTAAATCCATGAGAAGTTTTATCTGTTGGTTGGAGTTGGGGATCAAGGGGATATTCCACTGTGAAGACCCTTTTTGGCTAAGCATTCAGTAGTAATAGCTTCTGTAGCAGAAAATCCCACTAGAATGCAAGTTTTCAAATTATCAATTAAAAGAAACTAACCTGGATTGATGTCAAACAATGAGCAGCTCTAATTGCTCGTGAAACAAGCACCAAACCAAAGCTGTATGAACATCACATGGATAAGATAATCACCCACCAAATATAACTAAAATAAATTGTGCACAAGTGCGTAAAGGGAATGAACTTTACGTTGCCTTCTCAAGAGAATATATCCGAAGCTCATATACAACTTGGTGTGCTGAGATTGGGTGTCGAGTTGGGGACGTTGCAGCCCCACCATCTTGATGGACTAATGCCTGTAATCCAGGATCAGCTTCCATATGAGGAAGCACACAAGCAACACAAGCAGCTAAGAATTTCCCACAAGGTGAAAAATGAGCACCCATTTCACTGCAAACACATAATGCAGCCAGGAAATGCCATAATATAAACATGATGACATGCTAACAAAATATAGTTATTAGAGGCCAACCACGAACTTGACAAAGGCAAGTTTTTATATGTAGAAACAAAATTTGAAAAGATAAAAATTAACATCAATAGTTCATGTTTAAAGAGATTGTCCAAGAGATGAATGCATACCACCATGCTAGATAAAATATCTTTAATAGACAGGGCAGTTTTTAATATTATGCTGACAAATTTATGAGCATCAAACCATTAGAACAAATATCACGACATTTACCTACAAAGGACAGCATGTGGTATGGTTAAGCGGCATTTGTCAGCATTTAGTGGTTCACAAGGATTATTTATATCATATGACCACACCCTAAGCTTCACCGTGCAAGGCAACTCTGCAGCTGCAGCTACAGCAATTGATGTGGCAAGTTCAGATTGGATTCTACTTATAATTGGTTGAGCATCAGTACCATCATACACAGAATTGCTAGGCACAGAAACTTCACCAGATCCAGAAACTGAGAAGCGAGATCGAGAAACATTTAGCAATCCAGTTCTTCCAGAAACCCCAGATGGGCTAATGTGGTAAGGCATTCCCAAAGAAGATGCTGCAGCCTCTATATTATCAATCAATGGCTGTAATGTTGAGGAAGAACCCATGTATTGAGCTAAAATTTCACGACTAATACCACCATGAGGATGCATAGAGGGAAGAACAGTTTGTTGACCCATTAACCACCCTTGCAGAAAAGGCAGCTCCCAACAAATTGCACCAAAGGGTAAAAACTGCTGAAGTTGTCCAAATTCCCTGGCATCTTGTCGGCTAGAAACATGTCTAGGCACTCCCCTAAATGCACTACTATAAGGATCGAGGTTAGTAGAGTTTGCTTCCCTGCTTTCCCTTTCAGGCTGAATTTCATCAGTGTCCATAGCATCCATTGAGGGTTCAGCAGCACTACTTTCCATCCTAAAAGCAACTGAACTATTTATAGGATCTTCTATGCCAGGATAAAAGCCAGAAGGAGTTGCAGGAAATGTCACCATGGGAGATTCTGTACTGTGATATTGTTCACCCATAGTTGCATCTGTTTGAAATTGCATTGAAGAAGACGGCCCAACTTGCACACCAGTTGAACCAACAAGCCTACTGACATATTGCAAATCCATTCTCGAATCATCTATGGAAAATGAAGGCACAATCATGCAAGGCAATAACATAAGACAAGGATTAGCTGAAAAACCAACATGATCACTAGAATTACCACTCGTCATAAAAATTGCAGGAGGAGGATAATGGAAGTAACCCTGTGATGTCGCCCGCGTCATTGAAGAATCGGAAGAGGCAAGATCATTGACCTGCATATCAGTCCAATAATGTAATTCATATGATAGAAGAAAAAAATAATCAACAAAAACCCCCATTATAGAATTCACCTCGGCAGTCAAGAGAAATGGAGCAGCATGCGGATGAAAGTGTACAGCTCGGAGAGATCGTCTTGTCTTCAATGTAATGGCTGGTGAGGAGCCCTCTCCTTTCTTGTTGTAGTGCCATATGTACAACTGGAACATGATTCAAAATGTAAATGCTATGAGATCCACAAAATCATGCTTCCCAAGCTTAAGGATATAACGCAAATGGAGATAAGAATTCCAAGCATAAAAAAATTATATGACAAGTTCCTAGGCAGCATTCAACACCTTGTGACCACATGCTACTGCAAGAAGTTCCCCTTCAGCATGAAAAGCAAGGGAAGCAATTGGACGATCTGCAAGAGTGAAAGGGGCAAGAACACATGCTTAAATCATAAGTATAAGAGCAATACTTCAAAATCACAAAAAAAAAAGGGGGGTTAGAGTGAAGGTACAGAAATTGTGAGATCTGATACACTCAGCTGTCTTTGCATCCCACAAACGAACTTCATGATCCAAGCTCCCACTTGCAAGAATTCTTGGAAGCATTGGGTGGAATCTAACCTGTAAAAACTCCATTAGAATTTATACATGGGAGATATATAATTCTTGTGCTTCTACTAACATATAATAACTTGCATAAACTACATACTAAACTAACGTTGCTTTATTGGCCAAAGAAAACTAACATTGCTTTAAATTTACCTATATACCATGAGCAAGAGTAGGGAGACCTAAGCTCACATCTAGCTTCCAGCTCTAAATCAAGCTAAGTAGTTTTCAAGTACAAACTTAAACACTTAATCCTTAGACCTAACAGCACACCAGATGTCATGCATTGGGTAGAATCTAACCTGTAAAAACTCCATTAGAATTTATACATGGGAGATATAAAATTCTTGTGTTTCTATTAACATATAATAACTTGCATAAACTACATACCAAACTAACATTGCTTTATTGGCCAGAAAAAACTAACATTGCTTTAAATTTACCTATATACCATGAGCAAGAGTAGGGAGACCTAAGCTTACATCTAGCCTCCAGCTCTAAATCAAGCTAAGTGGTTTTCAAGTACAAACTTAAACACTTAAACCTTAGACCTAATAGCACACCAGATGTCATCAGGAATAAAGGCCTCCAGAGGCCTTCAACCACCTATCCATGATGAAAGCTCCCAGACTATTAAGGAGACGGGAATAGGAAGTTGGTAACATATCACTTATGGTGTTCTCTTGGCCTTTACAAAACAACAAGGATTTTTAACAAATTGTCTTATAGGAATATCAATTTTCAGTAAGGATTACCATAAGAACCACAAAAATTATCAACCAATAAAGTTACATTCAAATTGTCTTATAGAAATATCAATTTTCAGTAAGGATTACCATAAGAAGAACCACAAAAATTATCTACCAATAAAGTTACGTTGTAGAACAATAAAGTGGGATTACCAAGTACTAACTTGCACAATAAGTCAAAAGTACTCACCACCCAAGGTGTCCTCCGATGACCGCTCAACACCTTTAAGCATTTTCCCATTTCATAATCAATAATCTTCACAGTGTGATCACCACTACAAGTAACAAGACCAAGTAAATATCTAAAACAAGGCAAGCCATGAACTCTGGTGAGAAAAAAAAAGAACAGTCACACAAGTACAACTTACTGGGTTGAAGCAAGTGTTCTTCCATCATGACTAAATGCTGCTGCAATCGTTGACCTTGGAGGAGGCACGAGAGCACAATACTTGCCTGATAAACGCTGCAAAGATGCTTGCTCAGCCCTGTAAAGGAAAAAATATGAAAAAAATTATTTGATGGCTCATCTGAATTAAAGAAAAACAGAAAACTGATTTTAAAAAATATATGCAATCCTCTTACAAGAAATGAAAAATAAAAATAAAACAAATACAGTTGAAGAGTGTAAGTACCATGACACAAGGCCACTTCTGGCATCTCTAATAGGTTCACCATTAGGCCCAGATGAAGAATCAGAATTCTGTTTACATGCTTTTCCCCACCCCCTTTTTGGCACATATTTTGTTCTATGAGAGACTTCCCTCTTCTCTAACAGATGTACGACATTTTTGCTGCTGAAAAGGAAAAATAAATTAAAATAAATAGAACTGAATTATATGCAAGAGAATCAAATAAACGACAACCTAAAAACTGATAAGCTTCATGATTACCATAGTAAGTTTAAAGAAATATGTCTTAAGTCCTCACCAAACAGTAGTTCCACGGACACAACTCAGAAAATAAGAATTGCACGTTAACAAATCCACATGAAACTAAAACAGATCAAATGTGACAAGTGAAAAATGTAGATAAATTAAATATTTTCCAAAAAAGACACTAACTTAAAATTTGATTCAATGAAGCTTGATTATCACTTTCAATCAAAGGTTACCCCAATCAGCTGAACACTTAAATTTAAAATACATAAAAAAGCAATTGAGCATTAAAAAATAAAGTAAATTGATAAGAAAACATAAAATTTCAACAACAACCAGCTTAATGTAGTTAGATTTCATAATAATTGAACAGATTAACAAAGCTACTACCACTATATAGTAGTCATGAGGTAATGTCTAAACAAGAAATCTACAAAACACGTGATGCATAAATAGATCAATTCAAGCTACGGAACAACATTCAGCAAAAACCAAAATCTAGAATCCTAAACCTTCTTAGTGATCCAGAACAACAGAAACGCGAAAAAATAATATGAAAAGATAAAATTCAAAATTCAAAATTCAAAAATCTAAATTCTAAATTATAAATTCGGTTTCAATTGTGACCTGCGATTGCAATTACTGGAGGGTTGAGATTGAAGGGAGGCTTGATCGTGCCGCCAAGGATGTCCCGTCATTTTCAACAATTCATAACAATCTAGGCATAATTGAAAATTAATTCTAGTAATTTAAAGGTGGTTGGACTTCGGATTGGCAGGAGAATTCTCGTTTCTACTTTTCTCTTTCGAGATCTCGATGGAAACGAAGGACTTGATCTCTCTTTTCTTCCTTTCGCTGCTCTTTCTCTTTTTTCTTTTTTTTTTTTTAAGGAAAGGGTGACAAAACCTAAAGAGGAAAAGAAAGAGAAAGCTCAAGACAGACAAAGGGAGGGAGTAAGAAATGAGTCTATCGGAGGTAAAATCAATGTATGAAATTTCATACCCTTCGCTTTCTTTGAGCTAAAAATCGGGGTAGTTAAATTATTCAGTACTTCATGATAATATATATCATAATTAATAATTTAAAATAAATAATTATAAATAATACATTTGAGACGATATTCAAATTTAATAGTTTTTCGTCGAAAAAAATTATCTTAATCGATTTAATCAAGGTAATTTGTGTTTTTATTTTACCGTTTTACCGACAATATCTTTTTCACGTCCATTGCTTTCCACGGTTGACGAGGTCCGGAGTCAGCTTCTTATCCGATCAGGCCAGCGTTAACACTCATAGGCGCGTGGCGGATCTGCCTTTCTTGGGAATAAACTACTAATTCTGATCAATTAAATTTATAACATTAAACATTAACTATAATATTTAATACAATAACATTTTTATAAATTATATTTTATTAATCTTAATCAATATTCAAAAAATATTTATTAATAACTTTTTATTGCATTAGGATGAAGCAGTTTAAGTTCTAAAAGATCAGAAAATAAATCCCTACTTATAAAAAATATATTTAATATTCCACGGAAAATAAAATATTGAGAGCAATAACAAGTTATACTATTCTGTATATAAGTATATATTATTAACATATTTGTTTTTAATATACTTTACAGCAGTATTTGTCATTTTCCTTAGCGTTGTGGCATGGAGTTCAAAATCTTTATTAATCATGGATAAAATATTTTTTTCTTTACAATATATAGACGTTTTCTTACTGGATTAGCAAGCTTACATACTCAAATAAAAAACAAAAAATATGAAAAAAATAACAAAATAAAATTATACAAAAAGTTATTAAATTATATCAAAGTTATAAAACTGCCATAAATTTTATCAAAATTATATCCAATTTTATCAAATTATTTCAAAAGCTATAGCAATCAAAATTATATCAAATTTTATAAAAATTAAAATTATATTAAAATTTATCAAATTGGCATTAAAGTTTGCCAAAATTATATTTAAATTTTCTAAAATTCTTTTAAATGTTATCACAATTATATGAATGATTATTAAAATTATATCATAAATTTTTTAAATTGTATTAAAGGTTATTGAAATTATATCAATAATTATTGAAATTTTTGTCAAAAGTTATTAAAATTATATCATTATGGTTATCAAAATAATATTAAAAGTTATCAAAATTTTATCAAATGTTATCGAAAATTTAACAAATGTTTTCAAATTATAAGAAAGGTTTTAAACAAAAAACTTATAAAGTTATTAAAAATTTATTTATGATCACCAAATTGTATTAAAAGGTTATCAAAATTATATAATAAATTATCATAATTGTATTACATATTACCAAAATTATGTCAATTTATTAAAATTTTGTTAAATATTTTCAAAATTATACAAAAATTTAATAAAATATTATCAAAGATTGTCGAGATTATTTGAAATGTTAACCACCATTAATATGTGACATTCAATAGATTTGTGATTCAACCATAGCACTTACAATCCCTTATTTTATTCTCAAGTTACTAAAATATCAAAGGTTATTAAAATATATCAAAAGTTTTGAAAATATAAATTATATAAAATTTACCAAAACTACATTGTAGGTTATTAAAATTGCATCTATGATTACCAATTTTTAATTACATATTATCAAAATTATATTAAAGTTATTAAAATTTTATCAACTATTTCAAAAAATTTATCATTAGCCATTAAAATAATATTAAAGTTTACCAAAATTTTATCATATATTATTAAAACTTCTAATAAAGATTACCAACTTATATTAAAGGTTATCATGAAGGATAAATAAATAGAGTTTTCGATAAACAAATAGAGTTTTGATAACTGTTTGTGAATAGTATTATTTTATTTATATTTATTTATTAAACTTAACTAATGATATTGAATAATATTTTTATGTTTGTTTATTAAACGAACTAAATACGAGTAGATATATATTTGTTAATTTATATTCGTGAATAAAATTATTTAAAATTCGTTTAAATTTTGTTTATTTATTATTTGTTTATTATTCATTTGTAATATTAATAACAAAATTCTAATTTTATCTTTTACCATAATTTTATTTTAAATTTTTTTTTTATATTCGTTTTGATTCATTTATGTTTATTTATGATTTACTTGCTTAAATTCATTTTGTTATATATATATTTTTTATTGTTTATAAACAGATTCATTTATTTAAAATATGAGTAGATATATATTTAATTATTTATATTCGTAAATAAATTTATTTAAAATTCGTTTAAAATTTATTTATTATTTGTAATACTAATAACAAAATTCTAATTTTATCATTTAATCTAATTTTATTTTAAAATTCTTTTATATTCGTTTTGATTCATTTATGTTTATTTATGATTTATTTTTTTAAATTAATTTTGTTATATATTTTTTATTGTCTATAAACAGATTCGTTTATATATCTTCATAAACATATTTGTTTAATGTTTAAGAATGAGCTCATTTAATTTAATCGAATTGAGTATGAATCAAACGTGAATATCCTACTATTTAATTGAATCAAACTCAAATAAATAAAATAAATTTATTGCAAAATATGAATCGAGCTTGAATATTTTTAAAATAAATAAAAAAATTTATAAATATTTTCTTCATTCGTTAATATTTGATTCGTTTATAACCATAATTATTATAATTAAAATTATATTAAAATTTATCAAAATTAAAATTATATGAAAGATTATAAGAAAATATATCGAAAGTTTCTAAAATTATATTATAAATTATCCAAATTCTATTGAAAATTATCAAAATTATATAAAGGTTGTGATAATTTTATCAAAGGTTGCTAAATGTGTATAAATAATTTCAAAAATTTTATTGTAAGTTACCGGAATAAAGTGTGTAAATAATTACAAAAAATTTATTATAAGTTACCAAAATAGTATTAAAAATTATTAAGATTACCAAAATTTTAACAAAAGTTTATCAAATTTCTAACAAATGTTATTAGAATATATCAAATATTAAAAAATTACATAACAAATTATTAAAATTATTTCATAGCTTATCAAAATTGTATTAATAATTATCCAAATTATCTAAGGTTATCAACATTCTATAAAATTTATAAAAAATTTATAAATATATCAAAATTATATCATAAATTAGTAAAATTATATCAAATTTTATCAAAATTGTATCAAAATTTACCGATTATATTAAAAATTATCAAAATTTTATCAAGTGTTATAAACTTCTACTAAAGATTGCTAAATTTTATATAAGAGATTATAAAATCAAAATATATAAAAAAATTATTATAATTTTATAAAAAATTATCAAAATTATATAAAAATTATAAAATTGTATATAAAGTTATCAAAATTTATAAAAGATTAACAGAATTGTGTAATGATTATTACAATTATATATAAATTATCAAAATTATCTTTTAAGTTAACAAGAATATGTTTGTGTAGAAGGTTATAAACGGCATCATTGATAGTCCCATATTCAAAATAAAAAATACCGCCACGGAATGAATTGAAAAAAAAAAATTTTGGGATTTTCTAAAACAGAAAAACAGTTTGCAAGTGACGGCAACAAACGGCTCCTAGGTTTGTCGTTTTCGTCGGTGTGTTATACCGACGCGCTTGAAAACAAGCGCGTAGCAGACACCATCAATTTCACAAAGCAGTTTTTGCTTTGCCGTAGCAACACTACAGCAAAAAAGCACCTCCCCCACCTGCCCCCTCCCCCACCCCCACTCCCAGTCTCTCTCTCAACTCTCTCAATTTCTACTCTTATTCCAAGGGTGTGTCTCTTTTTCTCATCTCCTCACTCTCCTCGGTAGATCCCCTTTTCCCTTTTCCACTAAAAAAAAAGAAAGGAAAAAAAAAACTCTTTTCTCTGCATTGTTGCGGTAGATCTTTGCCGCGTTTCATGGATCTACAATTGCCCCGAGTCGCATTGTCTTTACCTTCTCTCTCCTAGGGTTTTTTCCGTTCCTTTTTTTTTTGCCGCTTGGTGGCGGAGCAGTGTAGCTTTAGTTTTGTTTGGTTATAAGGTGTGTTGTTTCGCTCGGAGAATGCGACGGAGAGTTTGGCCGGCGGCGAATGGTCCACCGGAACCTTAGGACTCTTCAGTGGCACTTCGGCGAGGCTTGCGTGGTTCGAGTTGGTATCTCTTTCTGACGATGGTTGTTGTGGACTCTGGTTCGGCGAGAGAAGATGACTGCTTTCACTCTGCTCCATTTGCTTCTTGTTTACTTACTCAGCTTTCTCTCATGTTCTTGTTTAGGTATCACTCTTTTTGGATACTTACTCTTTTCTTTAATTATTTATTTTTCATCTGCTTGGTTTCTGAGAAAATAGTAGAAAGGAGAGGAAAGTGGAGTAAAATCCAGTTCGAGTTAGCTTTCAATTTTATTTGGAAATAAAGAAGAAGTCAACATGCTTTGTTAAGCCAAGTAGACTTTGGTTTTGTGCTGATTGGCTCTCTTGTGTCTACTTAATTTTTCAACTATAAAGTTCTCCCATTAGTTTGCTCTCTGACCTTTGCCAAAACCAAGAATGGAGAAAAGAAAACTGTGAAAAAAAATGAAAAGAAGGCTTTGCATTTTGAGTAATTGTTTAGTCTTCTGTTTTCTTTTTCCATATTGTATTTTGAAAAGAATCGGGAATTTGGAAAAAGATGTCTGATAATTGATTAGTAATTTTAGCCCTTTGAGGAATATGCAGTTCCGTGTTAGTTTTCTGCTGGTTTACTGAAAAAGTTGTGGTTGAGTGAGCTGATGTTATGTTTTATTTTTATATGACTTTCAATTTGTCATGGGTGCTCCTTAAAAGGAAGTATGAGCCTTAAATATCTTATGAAAGTACGTTTGTAGCATTTCTTTTGGGTATATCCTTTTTGAGTAAATGCTGGAAATCAGTTACTCTTGGAACTGTTGAAATCATTGTCATAATTATCTATTTTGTTGTAACATACAGTTGTTATGTGATGTATTCAAATTCAGGCACGGACACGTATCACTAGAATGATTACAATAACTATGGTTCATGAAGGAAGATTAACATCACTGCCATTTTATTTTATTTTTATTTTCAGGGTTGCAAATATTCTTGTCTCCTTTACAACCATCGCACCAGTTGTCTGCAATGGAAACAATAGTTGACCATGGTAATGATTTATTTATTTATTTTTAAATGTTAATGCAGTTGAATAAAATTCTTCTTTTGATTTCATCTCCTGTCTAGACTTCAAAGATCTTATTATTTATGGCCAAATAGGTAGAGGTTGATGTAGTATCCATGAAGAATATGTACTGAATATCTTTGAAGAAAAATAATTTTAGAGTAACTTATGTTTTTCTGTGGCCTAAGCTATCACCAATCCATCTCCTGAAAAGCCTTATTGACTATGCCTTAATCCACTGAACTTGCTCTGAGCCATGCTTCTTTGTAATCATTACTTGGAAGTGCAACAAATGACCGAAATATTTAAAGAGGCATTTGATGTCTACTTCTAGTTGATGGATTGGCACATCCCAGCTCAACATTTGTTGTCCTTTTTGACAAGTTTGTAATTTCTGTTATACAGTTGTATATGTTCTTCTGCCCACCAATTGTTTTAGCTAAAAAATGATCTCATAAAGATCTTTGCATATTCTTTTTAGAATAGGAATCCTTACCTGTCTATTCATAAATTGCATGTTAGTTATCAGATGGGCTCTTCTTGTGCATTTTTGCTACCTGTTTCTCTCCTCTCAGTGCCTATAATTGTTAGAAAGCTTAAGTGGAATCTTTTTGCCTAATTCCTGTCTTTCTTAAGTCAATGTTATCAAATTGTATCTTGATCCTCCATTTGGTTGTTTTGATGCATAACCCATTATGATTCATGATGTGCAGAAGACAAAAGAGTACAAGGTCAACTTGTTCATATTTACCTATTTGCTATAGGTGTTTGGGATAGGTTATCGGATGACTTTTAAAGTCATTCTAACTTCTTTTCATTACTGTGCGTTATTGCTCTTGCACATGGATTACTAATAAGGTTGCTCGACTCATAGCAGCTAGGTTTATTTCAATGCGTGTATTATTTTCTCAACCAAGATCATCCCAGGAACATGTTAATCCTTCTTTTGGACCAACCACTGCACCTGCACCTTCTCCTAACCATCGAGGTACTTATTGCAATCCGTTACCAACACCTTGCCACTACATTAATGCTGCTGTATGGCTGAAATCTCTTGCATTGCAGTTCCTGTTGCTCGCCATAGTAGCCATGTGGTGCCCAGACATCATCATGGTGGTCACCATCGTCAGCATCATGTTAAACCTCAAGCAGCTGCTCCATCACCTTCAGAGCTAGGTAACTTGCTATGGGCCTTAAGCAATGTCTAGAGGAGATGACCTGCTAGCCTTGGTTTCTTTTTTGGCCAAAAAAAAAAAGAAGTTATTGTTTAAACTTTAAACTTAATTGAGGGGCCTACAAAACTTTTTGTTAGTCCTGGGGATTATGGAGGGGTTGAATGTGTTCTTTCACTTAATGGAGCATGTTTGAATAATCAATTAGTCAGAAATTGTGTCTACCAGATCACTTGGCATCACTTGCTTGTATTTTTACTTTGTTTAAAATACTTTAAATGCCACTTTTGCTACTTTGTGGTTTTGATTATAAAACTTTGTCAGGTTGCGATCAAATTTGCATGGAGCCACTTACTGCAACCCCTTTTGGTTCACCTTGTGGTTGTGTGTTCCCTATGAAAGTCAAACTTCTTCTAACTGTAGCTCCTTATGCTGTTTTCCCTGTGATGAATGAGCTAGAGATTGAGGTTGCTGCGGGCATATATTTGCAACAAAGTCAAGTGAAAATAATGGGTGCGACTGCAGATACTAAAAATCAAGGGAGAACGTTGGTGGAGATTAACTTGGTTCCACTTGGAGAGAAGTTTGATAATACAACAGCAATACTTACATATGACCGACTTTTGCATAAAAGAGTGTCTCTAAATTCTACTCTTTTTGGAACATATGAGGTGGTATCCATCAGTTATCCAGGTAGGTATCTCTGTTTTTTAAATAACTTAATGCCATACTATTTTGTTTTATTGTCATGGTTATGATTTGAAAAACATTTTATCAGGAATTCCTGCTTCACCACCATATGGTTTGGGGAGTGGTCCAACTGGAAGTGCTGGAGATCTCCCAATCACAGCTAATTTTGTTAACAAGAACCAAAAGATGAACATCAGGATCATTGCCATTATTGTTTTATCTGCTTTTGTCCTCTTATTGGTTTTAGCTGGAGCAATCTCAGTCCTTATAAAATGGAGGAAGGTTGGAAGACCATCCAATGCAGTTGGTCCGGCGTTTCCTTTCTCCATAAACAAAAGATCTGGTAGGTTTGCAAGTGAGCTTTATGTTTGATATTTAGGATATGTTACATGGAATTGGAATGTAATGCGATGCTTGTAACTGGTTTTCACTATTGCTGTTTTGGCACACACACAACCCTCAGCTGACATGTCTTATGTATTTTCAGTTACTGCAACAATTGAATCTTAATGGTTAATTGCTCTTTAAGCTTAAGCAATAGCTCTGAAGTTTGGATATATGCAAAAGTGAACATAAAAGTTATATCGTATTGCTGGAACTTTCTTTTTTTTCTTCCATCCTTTATTGTGCTTGTACATTTGATCTTTATGAGGCACATTTTACAAAGCCTCATGTTTTTACTGTAGTTTATTATATATGTTGGTTAACTTTAATGCAAGGACTTAATCTAGTAATATTTCCTTGTTGTCTGTATGAACTATTCTGATGCCTGTTAAGTTGGAATATATGATGATCTGACTTCATGTTAATGCAGGCATTGGTTCTATCTTGTCAAGCAGTATGGCAAGCTCTGCATCAATGTCACTCATGTCCACCATGGCTTCTTGTACTCTCTCAGTTAAAACTTTTGCATTTGTTGATATTGAGAAGGCGACAGACAAGTTCAGTTCAAAGAGGATTCTTGGTGAAGGGGGATTTGGACGTGTTTACTGTGGTGTTATGGAGGATGGAAGTGAGGTAGCTGTTAAGTTACTTACAAGAGATAATCAGAATGGGGACCGTGAATTTATCGCTGAAGTGGAGATGCTAAGCCGATTGCACCACCGCAATCTTGTGAAACTTGTTGGTGTATGTATTGAAGGACGCATACGCTGCTTGGTGTATGAACTTGTTCCAAATGGAAGTGTGGAATCACACTTGCATGGTATAATTTCCATTTTTTTGTCTGTTTTGTTTATCGGACTGATTGCTTGTTCAATTTAGTATTTTCATTATGTTTAGAAAGCTACACATTAATTTATCATCCTTAAAAAACTAATGGAAAAGGAAAAGAAAGAAAAAGGTACTGTTAATTTCTATGTGGCCAAGATCACCTGATGTTGCAATGCTAATAAGTTTTTATTATGATTCTAGTTTGACTAAAATGGATTGACCTTTAATCTAAGTTTCATTTATATAATCCTTCTATTGATGGTTTAGGTGTTGACAAAAAGAAAGGACCTCTTGATTGGGACACACGGCTGAAGATTGCCCTTGGAGCAGCTAGGGGATTGGCTTATCTTCATGAAGATTCTAATCCTCGAGTGATTCACCGAGATTTTAAGGCTAGTAATGTTTTATTAGAAGATGACTTCACCCCTAAGGTTTCAGATTTTGGTTTAGCAAGGGAAGCAACTGAAGGAAGCGAGCACATTTCTACGCGGGTCATGGGAACTTTTGGGTAATTATTCTTTTATGCAAATAACTAGATTATTATTATATGATAGCATTAAAAATTACCTTGAAAAGTATTACATACTACTACATTTCCTCCAAATTTAATGAACAGCGGGACTAGCTAGTTGTTTATATTAATTAAAAGTTATTCATGCAAATTTTATGGACTGGTCCATGAAACTCTTGATGACATAATGTTAACAACACCTTTTATCTGAATGTCATTTTTGCAGTCATCAATTTCTGAAATCTCCTTCAGTTTTTTACATTTCTTTATTCTACCATATAAATGTCATGTCTCAATCTATCCCTCAAATTAAATATCTCCCAAAGGCCCAAACCCCAATATTGCTATTTCCGTGATCACAACAAAAAATCTTGTAACTTCCATGTCTTGTGAGTGATTTGCTCTTCAAAATATTATTGAAGGTGAAGTTTGTGAATTTGCAGGTATGTTGCTCCCGAATATGCTATGACTGGGCACCTACTTGTTAAGAGTGATGTTTACAGTTTTGGGGTTGTGCTTCTTGAGCTTTTGACTGGAAGAAAACCTGTGGATATGTCCCAACCTCAGGGACAGGAAAATCTAGTAACTTGGGCGCGGCCTTTGCTGACCAGTAGAGATGGCGTAGAACAGTTGGTGGATCCTTCCTTGGCTGGAACATATGACTTTAATGACATGGCTAAGGTGGCAGCCATTGCTTCCATGTGTGTTCACCCAGAGGTGACTCGCAGACCTTTTATGGGTGAAGTTGTTCAGGCTCTGAAACTGATATACAATGACACCGATGAAACTGGTGGGGATAGCTGTAGTCAAAAGGATTCTTCTGCCCCAGAGTATGACTTTAAAGGGGATTTTGTCCCTTCTGATAGTAGTTGGTGGAATGCTGGTGGGGTCACCCCCCGCTTAACTTATGGACAGGCATCTTCTTTTATCACAATGGACTATAGTTCTGGCCCACTTGAAGAGATGGAAAACAGACCGTTTTCATCTTCAAGTTTGATTGGAGGAGGAACATCTTTACCAATTAGACATGGTAACAGATCAGGTCCCTTGAGAACAGTCCGAAGCAAGCCAAGCTTTTATAGATTAAGAGGGAGCATGAGTGAGCACGGGGGACTCCTTCCAAGGCGAATTTGGAGTGATGCCTATTGGGTTTGAGGTTTCTTTTCCCAGCTATTTTTATTTTTTGAATTGTACAGTTCAAAAGGGCCGGGGCATTTGGGTAAGCAGTCAATTGTAGTTTAGCTTTTGGGGATTCTGAAGTTTCCATGTTCGATGAGAAGCAGAGAGCCGACCTTGGCTTCTCATTTTTGAAGCCTTGATTCATTACCGTACAAAAATGAAGATGTAAGTTGAATACTCCCTGTTTTATAAACATTTTATTTACGGTTCTTGAATTTCTTTCTCCGTATTGTTTATGTGCCAAGAAATTGCAAGAAACGACGGACAGTTCCTAAGTAAGCTGTTTGATTTTAACGAAGAGGAAGGAAAGGAGGAAAAACATTATCATAAGCAGCAATCATTTCAATTCCTTTCCCACGTTCAGGCACATGGTGAACGTTACATTGCATGGTCCCCTTTGCATTGTATAACATCTTGTCAGCCACAACTGTGCCGCGGGAATAAAGTGCTGTTAGATAAATTTTAAAAAATGTTATTAAAAATTTTGAATATAATTATATTGATTGATAATTGTAAATATTTAATTTTAAAAATAAATAGTTTCAGATAAAATAAATAAAATTAACTGAATATGTTTTACATTAAGTGATAAGTAGTTTTTTATATATTATTTTATTTGACATTTTTTTGAAAAATTTTTATTAAGGAGCATTTAATATAAGTTATTAAATATATTAAAAAATTAAACTTTTGAAATATTTTTAATAAATTAAAAAATTTTATATGCTATCATATAAGCCCTAAATCGTCACATCTCCGTCAAGTTTTTTTTTTGTTAGTTTTAATATATTATGGGAAAAAGAAAAGTGTGATATTTCTTCCTATCAATTTTGAGGGGTCCTGCTTTGCTCCACAAACATCGCCAAAACGAACTTGATAGACTGCACAGTTCCCAACCGCACGAAACTCCAGTACCGACCGACCATTATTTACCGCTCTTCCATTTCGATTTTGCAATCCGGACGGGACACCCCCCTTTTTTTTTTTTCCCCTTTGGTTGGACTCTAGTTTGACCTCGTCTTAGTTGTGATTAAAGTTTGTAATTACATCCCCAAATCTAGGGCTTTTTTGGAATTCAACTTCTCACTTAACATAAAAAAGTTTAAATTTTCTTAATTACACTTTTTAATTACATAAACAATTTAATAAAATAAACTTAAAGTGACGTTTGATTCACGAATCTTGAATTTTAAAAAAATTGTGATTCTCAAAAAATTATAATACTTAAATTTTTTTTTTATTTTCAAGATATATTAAGTTTAAATTTACTTATTTGATTGAAAAAAAATTATATATTTTAATTTTTGAATAATTATCATAAATTTTTTTATATATATCAATTTTAAAAATTTTTGATCCTAGTCGCCACTTCCTTTGTTTAAATTTTTGTGTGAAACACTTAAAACTTAGAGGAGAATACCTTTTTAATGCGTTGTTTTTTAACAAAAATGGCTTAAAAAGGTTTTTTTTTTTTTTCGGTCATAAACTTTTTAAAGATATTTTTTGAAAAAACAGCTTGAATTTTTTTTTTCATTCATTTAGAAATCGAAAGAGAAATTTTTTAAGGGTTTTTTTACAAAAACATCTTAAATAATTATGTTTTATTTTTTTAAAAAAAATTATTTAAAATATTTTTAATGAAAAATCATCTTAAATAATTATATTATATATTTTTTAAAAATTATTTAATTTTGATGTTTTTGATAAAAAATATTTTAAATGATCTTATTTATTTTTAAAAAAATCATTTAAGATATTTTTTTAATCAATATTTATTTGAATAATAGTTTTTTAAGGTATTTTTCATACCAAAATCCATTAATTGAAATATAAAAAAATTTTTATTAACAAAAGCATGTAACTAATTTGCAATCCCTTTCAAATATATTTTTAAATCCAAACATATTTTTTAAATGATAACGATTATCATATATTTTTTAATCAGGTCGACTTTTAAAATAACGTAATTTTTTCCCTAAAATCTTAGAATATAACAGGAATAGATGTGAAACTTTAAAGTTCTGGAAATAACGTGAAACTTTCAATACCGTTAAAAATTTATCATTTTTTTCGAAATCGGACCAAATATTAGAATAAAAAGTCCATTAGTAACATTTCAGAGAAAAATTTGTGATTCCCTCGAACCAAACACGCAAACGTTAAAAGACCAGTCCTAAGTAGGGAAGCAGAAGAAAAGCAAACAAAAACAAAAAAAACTTCTTTCATAAGCAGAGCAAACCGATGGCTTAATCACTTCTTCAAGAAAATGTATTAAAAAATCTTTGTTGAAGAGGCTTGAGCTTCTCATTTTTTGATTCTTTCTTTGCTTTTTGTTTGGAAATCTTTTCTAGTGTTAATCTATCATTATTATTGTACTTATTATTTTGAGTAGACCAATTCAAATAGTTTTCTTTGATAAGTATCGGATTGAATGATCGTTGTCCAACGCCTTGGAAGTAGATCGGGAAGCGGCAAAAAGTTTCTGAACCGATCAATCTTGGTAAAAAAATGGTAATTTATCGACGATATCTTCGGCTTTTACTTGCTTTTCAGTCTTGCATTATTATTGCTGATTTCTAGATTTGAACGGTCTCTATTTAATTTTATGCGATTTAAAGAGTTTGTTTGGTAATTTTGAGGAGTTGTTGTTGTTGACTGATATGGACTTGAGTTGAAGCTAGCTATTATTCTGTTTCGATCAGTTACTTTTGTGTTTCTTGAGATTCAACTTTTAGGGTTTTAACTGTTTTGATTTGCTATGGTTGTTGAAAATAGTTTGCGATAAGGTTTCAGTTAAAAACCATATTGCCATTGACTAGAACTTGAAGTAGTACTTTTTGTTCTAACATGAAGTACGATCTGATTTTGATTATGGTTTTATGAGTTTGTGCTGATAATTGGTTAGAGTGGAGGCTTCAGTGTTGGGGGTATGATTGGTCTGGTGATTTATCCGTTGTTATAACTTACTTTGGAGCATGAAACTAGGATGTCTTTTTTGTTTATATGATTGGAGCCACAAAGTTGAAATTTCTGGTACTTAGGCCAAACTTTTTACCTTGTATGCTTTCCAATTTATAAATTTAGTGGTATTTAATGGACTTAATATCTCTAATGAAGCCCAAATTGCAACATGCACTTGATAAATTTATCCCTAAAAAATTTTCCAATTTGAAGGGTTTTAAAAAAAAATGAAGGTTTGGAGGGTTTTAGATGGGCCATGTAACCATCCAAAATCCCTTCATTTCCGTTAAAATGTTTTTCAGAAAAGAAATACATTTTCTGATCCCACGATCTAAACTGAGTTTTTACCTCTGTTATTGAATCTATAATGAAGTTGGAATGGTGATTGCCTAACATCCTTATTTTACTCATGAACTCATTACTTGTTTCAGCACTATCCCTATAATTCCTATTCAAAGTTGTTTTGAGATTGAAAAGCATGGATAACTTATCCACGTGGTTTTGCCTTAATGCTTGAATCTTGACTGAAAAGTGTCTAAATGGGATAATCTAATGGAATTGGTGAATCACGAGCACTCTTGGCTTTTGTAGGCTGCCATGACCGGTCTTGTAGTTGGATCTCTTGTCTGGGTGGAAGATTCTGACATTGCTTGGATAGATGGTGAAGTCATGGAGGTTAATGGTGAATATATTAAAGTTCTGTGTACTTCAAGGAAGATGGTGAGTTGCTTCTATAAAATTTAAACGGATTATTTTATATGCATATCAAGTTACTTCTATTTTGGTGAATGCTTATTGATAAATTGCTATTTTTCTTGCTACAATCATGTTTATGTGGCTTAAAATTTTCTTCCCCTCCCCCTTTTTCATGTCATGCAAATTCAGTATGATACTATAGGAATTCATTGAGAACATAGAATGTTTGGTTGAGCTGGTTGCTTAATTTGACTAACCTATTTCACAACTTTTGCAACAGGTTGTTGTTAAGGCTTCAAATGTCTATCCTAAAGATGCGTAGGCCCCACCATGTAGAGTTGATGATATGACAAAGCTGGCTTACTTGCGTGAACCAGGAGTCCTTCAAAATTTAAGATCAAGATATGATATGAACGAAATATATCTAAGATTTCAAGCAAATATGCACAGTCTTCTTTCAATGTATGGGTGTTATTTATGTCTTTTCTTTATGTATCTTTGGTGGAGTGGATTTATGTTTTGCTTTCTTTATGGTATATTGCATTGATGAATGTTGGTGAGATCTTTATGTTTTCATCATGTTTTCAAAATTTACTGATACAAGGAGGCAATTGCCGAAATAAATTGATTGCTGTAAACCCATTCAGAAAACTACCTCATCTTTATGATAGCCATATGATGGCACAATATAAAGGTGCAGCCTTTGGTGAGTTGAGTCCACATCCCTTTGCTGTAGCAGATGCTGCATGTAGGTACCCCGTTGTACTGACCAGAAGTTGTTCATTTTATATGATTACTCGTTTTCGACAATGAAAATTGCTGTTTCCATTAATGTAGACTAATGATCAACGAGGGAATAAGTCAGTTGATTTTGGTTAGTGGTGAAAGTGGGGCTAGTAAAACAGAAAGCACAAAATTGCTTATGCAGTATCTTGCTTGCATGGGAGGAGGGCTGATGCTGAGGGAAGAACAGTAGAGCAGCAAGTTCTGGAGGTAAACATGGCTATGAATTTTGATTTGTGTGACAATTTGAATCTATCATCCAAGTAACTGTGTTTAACAACTTTTATTTTTGTTTTCTCCTAATCTGCAGTCCAACCCTGTTTTAGAAGCTTTTGGTACGGCAAAGACTGTTAGGAACAAATACTTGAGGTGAGGGTATTTAGTGTTAACAAGTTTTTACCCTGCATGTACAATATATTCTATGTCAGAATCATTGGTTTTTTATCTTTATGTGCATGTTTTGAATGACGTAGTCGTTTTGGTAAGTTTGTGGAGATTCAATTTGACCAGAGGGGAAGGATTTCAGGAGCTGCGATCAGAACTTATTGGCTAGAAAGATCATGTGTTTGTCAAGTGTCTGACCTGGAGAGAAATTATCACTGTTTCTACATGCTTTGTCCGGCACCACCAGAAGTAAGTGGTTTTTGATTGCTTAATTAAGTTGCTTATAAATATTTGCTACAATGTGTTCTTGTATATTCTTTCCCTCAGTAAGCATTTTTCATGTTTAGTTTTAAAAATTTATGGATTATCTTAGGGCCCAAATTTACCATCCAGAAAAGGATTTGTGTTGGGAACTTAAATTGTGAGACTGATCTTTCCCATATTTCTAGCTTCAGATATCAATCTTTTTTTATATGGTTTTTATTTTTAATTAAAATGCTTGAA